TGTGTGTGTGTCTGTGAGATGTGCTACTTGGAATGGAATCCAGGGCCTTACATGCTAGGCAAGTGCTCCATCACTGTACTACATATTTCTAGTCCTTTTTTCAATCAATATTCTTTCTTTTCATGTTTTTACTGCTACTACTACTACTACTATTATTATTATTATTATTATGTGTATGTTATTGTATACCCACAAGTATGCAGGTACAGGAGGAAGGCTAGAAGAAAGCATCATAGTCCATGGAGCTAGGATTATGGGCAGTTGTGAACTGCCCAGTATGGCTACTGGAAACTGAATTCAAGTCCCCTGAAGGAGCAGCAAACACTCTTAACCACTGAGCCATCTCTCTAGCCCAGGAAACCTCCTCTTAGAGTAACATGTAGGTGAACCTGTGTTCATTAGGTCCTGGTATATTTATTATTTCAGTTTAATTTACTAACTCACTTCATGTAATTTAGTCTTCCTTTTTTGCATATTATATCATATGGACAATCAATTGTATCCAGCTTTGGGCAAAAAAATAAATAAGTATGATTTTTACTTGCCAGTCGGGGTTATAAGCATATAATGACCTTCAATAAATGATAAAATGTAATGTGGATGGTAAGAAAGAGTCCATGTGAGCAAACAGGTGCTTTTGAACCTTTCAGGGTCAGTGTGGCTTATGGGAGCTCCACTGTGGGATTTTAGAAGTTAGGCCTGCAGGAAGAGGGCTCATGCCATTCAGGTGGCTCATGAGCAAATCTTAATTCAGTTTTAGAACAAACAGTCTATGTAACTTATCTCCCTTTACCTTTAAGATAATTCTGCAAAGCAGGTATTATCGTCATTTCAGACAGCTTAGAAATCTTTGTGAGTTGCATGTGTTTCATAGCTTTGTCCTTCCCACCTCACTACACCGATTCAGATTCACCTGGCTTTAGCAGGCTGGCCCAGGAAAACCCATGTTCTACTTGCCACCCAGCTATTGAAGAGCTGCAAAGGAAGGACTTGGGGGTGGGGTTAGGTGACCAGGGGCTTGAGGCAAGCCTCAAGTGGGGGCTTCCTGCCATGGCCATCTGAGTCGTTCAGCAGACGCTACAAAGGCAGGCGCACTACCCATCAGACCTGCCACGCTTCAGCAAAAAAATCCTAACAGTCTAACCTTGTGAGAAGCTAAATTGGAAAACTAGAAAACGGCTCCTTCGCAGAAGATGAAGGTTTAGTGGTGAGCAAGCAGGACAGTTAGTTCCTCAAATGTGCAGGTGAGCGAGCCAGTTGAACTCTGCTCCTTCTGAATACATATTTGCTGAGTGCGTTAGCAAATGGAAAAGAGCAAGGATAATAACTCATGCACAACATGCTATGTGGCCCATGGGACCTTATCGTGCGTACTGTGAGAAAAACAAATTAAACCCACTCTTGTTTCCTGTTCAAACAGCTCGCTTTCTTCGTAGTCCCTGTTTAACTTTCCGCATCTGCATCTTGAAAAGAGGCCCACATTCTCTGTTACTGTTTTTAATAAGACTGTTATTTTTTATTTAACATTTTATAACATGTACATGATTATCTTGGTCACATCCACCCACCTTATGCCTCTCCTCCTCCACCTTCCCTCAAGAACATCCTTTCAAAGCTTCAACACCCTCCTTTACAGTTATTTTTAGTTTCCTCTTCTGCTGGTCATCAACCAATGATAAGATCCTCAGCGAGGGGTGGGGCCTCAGGAGCCCCTCTCCTGCCATGCTTTGCCTGAGTGTGTGTATGTACGAGCACCACTCCACCAAAGAGTGATTTTCCTCTTCTACCAGTCATCAGCTAGTGATAAGATCCTCAGTGAGGGGTGGGGCCTCAGGAACCCCTCATCCCCCCATGCTAGAATTCCTCCCTTCAGATTTATTTAGAATGCTTTGCCTGAGTGTATGTATGTACATGCACCACTCACATGCCGGTTGCCCTCAGAGATTAGAAGGGAGCATCAGAGCCCCTGGACCTGAAGTTATGGATGGTTATGAGCCACTGTGTGGATGCTGGGAACTGACAGTAGGTCCTCTGCAAGAGAAAGAGGTTTTCTACACAACCGTGTCATCTTTCCAGCCCCTTTGCTAGAATTCTTAACTGGCTTGGTCCTCTGCGGGTAATCCCAGAGACTGTGAGCTCGTGCATGCCATGGCCATGTGGCGCTCACAGAGAGCATTTCCTATCACCCTCTTCTGTCCTCTTGCCTTTACATTCTTTCTGCCTCCTCTTTGACGTCCCCTGATTTGGGTGTTGGGGTGATACAGGTCCTGTTCCCCACCGAGCACTCACAGTTACTGATTTTCGGCTCTTTGAATAGTAATAGATCTTGCATCAACCTCTGCCCCACTGCAAAAAAAAAGCTCCTCCGATCAAGGTTGGGGGTGGCACAAATCCATGGATAGAAGCATGGCTACTTAGAAGGCAGTTTAACAACATCAGTGGGTTCTCCCCTGGGGCTTATGACTTCCTTAACCATGGGTTTTGAGCATGTTTACAGTCCCAGAATGAATGAATTCCCTCTGTTCTTACACACCTGAGATTCTTCTCAAATGTCTCAGTGCACTGAACACATCAAACCCTTGTCTTCTACAGAGAGCTTCCAAGCTGGTCTACAAAGGACCTGGCAGATGATGGAAACCAATGCATCCAATTTAATACAGGAAGAAATCAAGGATACTCCTATTATTTGGCCTTCTAAAGATGACCTGGTGTTTGGGGGGTTGTTAGTTTGCTTATATGGTTTTGAGCCAGGTCCCAACTCTAATGAAGGCTTGTATGGGACTCGCTGTGTTATTCAGGCTGTCCTAAAGCTAACATCCTCAGCTTCCCTCATGCTGGGATTATAGGCATGAGTCACTATGCCCGACTCCACTCCGAGTTCATCTCTAGTTCTCTAGTGTAGTAAAAGAGATCGAGCATGCTTATGTTGAGAGACAAGAGTGAACACACATTTGCACTTTGCAGAACTTCAGTGCCAATTATTCCTAAAAGAAATGAAAATAGATAAATGGCAATTGTGTCCCATAGGGTAGAAAACTAGACTGTCAAAAAAGAGAAATGCAACAATGCTTCACCTTCTTCAACCCCTAGGACAGGCTACAGTTCTCTGAGTGAATCCTTTCAGCTGGACACCCCACTCCTTTACAGATATTCCATGGATAGTGACTGCCCCACAGATAGCAGCACCGCATACTGACTGACCCAACACAACAAAGTTAAGATACAGAAAGCAACTCCTAGATAACACCTGCCTGCCCTCTGCATGATCACACTTCCAGAACCCAAATGTCTGACGGTGAATGTCCAGCCAGAGTTTCCACCCAAGTCTTAGAATATCATTTAGTGTCTTCTCAACACCACGTGGATAGGAAGATGTCAATAGAGTGGACAAAAGACGCTTCAGTTGTTCCCATCACTGAATATGATGTTCATTCATTCAGTTTGTTTCATTGAGAGCTTACCATGTGTCAGATATCTGTCATGTGGAAGTTCTTATCCTTACGAAACTTAGCTCTGCTCTAGCTTTCTCAATTCCATTTTCAGATAAAGAAGTCAGGAGACCTTGAATGCCAATCTCCTCTCTATCTTTCCAAGGTCAACACTGAAAATCCATCCTCATGGTTCCAAGATGATGATTCTTACGACTTTGTTAAGTCTGATGCTTTCTAGTCAAGACATTATTGAGCCAATGGCTCAACAGTATTAGCTTTGCTAGGAGAGAAAGAAACATAAGTGACAATGTCCAATAATAAAGATTATATCTATTTCTTAACTTACTAGGTCGTGTGAATCCCTTGAGAAGTGCGTCAAATGTGGGGATTCCTGAAAACCACATGAACCTTGCAGTCCAGACCTGCCAATGGTGTCAGTATCTGGCAAGTCCAGAAATTTTGAGAAACTGTCGCTACTCGCCTGCCTTTGCAGAATGGAGGAAGGAGACTTCTTTAGACCTGAAGCTGGGGCTTCTTGCTTGTGAGGAATCCTTCCACTCACACCAGAGACACTAACGGGTGTTTGATGAATGTAGGCTATGGGTCATCAAAGCAGAATGGGCAGGAGGTGGCAAGAGATATCTGAACAGAAGAGGGAAAGGAGGGTTTAGGGGAGGTTGGGGAAGTGGGAAGGCCAGTAGAGAGGCAGCAGCTCTGGAGACTGCTGCTCACTTGGACCGTCAGCAAATACCCACATCTCCATATTGACTGACACATGCAGAGTCAATCAAGCCAAGCCTACCTGACACTGGGCTGCTCACAAACAGAAGGACTTGCTCCATGCCCATTCTTGGCACCACCCAGAACTGAGTCAGCCTCAGTGACACATTGGAGGCTGCCTAGTTTATCAAGAAAGGTAAGAAACTCTGGAGCTGTCTCACAAATATGCTGCTGTTGGGACAACCAGGAGTCCTTCTGTAAACAGTCCTGAAGTGCCCTTGTTTGCTTTCTGCACTGATGAAGATGTGGAACATTCATCTCTTTTGTCTCAGCCTTGAATCAGCCTTTTTGATGAGAGGAACCATTCAGGATTTTATTTAATTTATAGTGCCCAAAGCCATAGATGACTTCAAGTTTCACAACTTGGAAAATCCACCATAATGGAACATGTCTTTTCTTTTTTTCCCCCTTTGGTTTCTCTGTGAAGCTTTGCACCTTTCCTGGAACTCACTCTGTAGCCCAGGCAGACCTTGAACTCACAGAGATCAGCCTGCCTCTGCCTCCCGAGTGCTGGGATTAAAGGCATACGCCACTACCACCCAGCTCTACATGTCCTATTTTTAAACAAAGGCATAGATTCATTTTAATGAATCAACTATTTTAAATGCAAAGGCATGTCTGGAAAGCTGTGGGGTAAAATCTTGTAGTATAGGAAGAGACAGGAGCCAAAAATACACCCAATGAATTTGTGGTCCGTTATGTGAACTCCTCAGAATTACTTACACATGGAGGCTTTTATTTAGTGTGTCTAGGAATGAGACACAGTGATTGAAATTTACACAAGGGGAAACTGAGGATCTGAATGGTTATGTGACTCAAGTAAGAAGAAAGGGGATTTTATTTGAATTTGGTGTTCTGGTTCAAAAAAAAAAAAAAAAGAGGCCCAGACCAACTTGCAGGATTTCCTGGAGACACTAGAGAAAGTGCTTAGAACTGACGTCTCGCGAGAGCGCAGTCAGCTTCTCATACGTAGCTTTCTCTCCACAGAACCGAACACAGAACTCAAAAAGTGCCCAGTGATCCCAGTCCAGCCCTGAAAGTCGTTCCTTTGTTTAGTGCTGTTCAGTGGATCCATCGGGGCTTCGCTTCCACCACATCATTTGGTTTCTGGGTGGGGATCTGGGGCTGAATAAAAAGAAAGAGAAACATAAAGATACCTTAGCGGGGAAGGCCTCTCTCACTCTCAAGACTAGTAGGAGCAAGCTGATAATTCAGAATTCTAGCTCACTACACATTTTCTGCAAAGGTGGACAACATGGAGACCACATATTTCTCTGCAAAAATATTTTCACATAAGGATGTTAAGCTAGCAATAAGCCAGGCTAAGGCATGAGTATATACAGCCTTGGGGAGTGTATATACCCCTTCCCCAGATATTTCCTAGGAACCTCAGAAACAAACTTAATTTTTCTTTACAGAAAGATATCCTTCCCAGTGATAGAGATTTCTACCTGATCAATTGTAATCCTGTCAGTTGCCCTTCGGGAACCACTCTGTGTTCTCATTGAAATGTCTTAGGAATATTCTGAAGATGATAACTGAAGAACTCACCAAAATGGTACGCACAGGTATTGTAAATACACTGGAGCATGCCTCTCCCTTCAGAAGCCCTCACCCACACTCTCAGGTGAACCCTACTCTTTCCCTGAGTGCCCTGCTCCTACAAATCCTCAGACATAAGTCTATATTTAAAATCTTTGGATAAACTCCAGCTCTTATTCATTCTGGATCATGGTAAAATTCTTTACTATGGCAAAGCCATGGATCCAGCCTTAGCTGAGTGGCAGTCTCTGCATAGGATGACTCTGCTGCTACAGACCAACAGCGTGAAGCTGTGTCTGCTGCCGCATCCACTGCAAAGGGGAGCCAGGGAGCTTCTCTTTCCCACCCACGTGCAGTTTAGTTCAGTGGTATCTAATCTCTTTAAACGTCTTACATCGTATCTCAGAGACATAGCCCTGGAGACGTGAGCAAACACCTGAAGTCAGGACACTGGACTATGTTCTAATATTGTCACTGAAGGTCAGCAAATAGCTGAGTCACCGAGCTGTGGGGTGATGTCTGAGCTGTGTCAGGTCCCCAGGTCTCAAGTGCGTGGTGGTTGTGTGTGATTTAGAGTGAGCTGCAAGATAATGGGTCAACTTGCCTGCAAGAGATCCCTCCCGTGGGATAGGTCCATGAAGTTGCTTCTGCACAAGAAACTCATACTGACTAAGACTCATGCTGAGTTCCTCCCAGCAGTGTTTATTGAGACCACCAACAGAGGCTACCAAGCCGCTTCTCAAAAGGCACCCCTCAGGAGGAACTCAGTAGCTAATACCCGGCCTACTTCTGTTTCCACCTTCAGCGCTTTGGGCAAGTGTGAGCACTTTCTACACCTTGGCTTTCCACGTGTACTTGAAAGCAACACACAATATCAAAGAAAAGAAGGGGGGATTATAATGCTGCCTTCCTCATTGGATTGTTACAAATGAAAGGACCCCATGTGAGAAAGCTCATAGCCAGGGTCTGGCACATACATTGTTTTTATTTATTTTTTATTATTATTATTTTATTTTATTTTACAATACTATTCAGTTCTACATAACAGCCACAGATTCCCTTGTTCTCCCCCTTCTTGCCCCCTCCCCTTCCCCCCAGCCCACCCCCCATTCCCATCTCCTCCAGAGGAAGGCCTCCCCCAAGGACTGAGATCAACCTGATACATTTTTAAAGGTTAATGGATTAATTCCAGTCCTGAGAATTGAACCTAGAGTTTTGGGCATGCCAGGCAAGAGCTCTACCATACACATGTTTTAGTAAGTGTCAATTATTATGATGGTGTTTTTCTCTCTTAATGATTTTTTTTTTTCAATTGAGTGGATTCTCTATATAGGTCTATCTTATCGTGTAGGTGATGTTTTTGTTCTTCACAGGGTTAAAGAGCCTGAGCTCTAGGGTGAACTTTAGATAGGAGGAACAAAGGTCTAGAGAGCTGGTATTGTCCTGGATCTTATCAGGAGACTGAAACTCAGGTCCCCACTACCCTATTTTCACTTCTTATCACCCACAATAACTCGTCAGTGCCAAGTAAATGGCCCTTTCGAACCTGTAATCTCCGCTGCTGGCAGATTGTCAAAGATAGTTGGCCATGGCATTGTTAAAATGTTCCTGCTCTTGTAAATCTCAGAAGTCCACTAAGCTTCAGTGTGAATTTCGGACAGAGCACAAGAATCATAACAAGGGGATGTTTGAGGTTAGAGACTACTCAATATTCGTGTGTGCTCTCTAAGAGATCTTGATCTTTTGGTCTGGTGTTTCAGACCAATGAGCTTCATGACTCAATGTTCTATCTGTGTGTTGGGCGGGCCCCTCTGTATTGTTCTGTCACTGAGACAAGCATGAGTATTGCAGTCATTAAACGCCATGATCCCTTCTTTCATAGTTCAGGGTGACCTAAAATACATTTTTTTCCTGCAGAAAGGAGCCTTAATTATGGATCTCAGTCCTTGTAACCCTGTGTCCTTATTTGAAGACTGTGTCTTTCATGGCTGTGTATGGTTTTTTATTTGTTTATTTTTGCTTTCACTTTGAGACAGGTTCTCATTCTGTGGCCTAGGCTTGCCTGGAACTCACTATGCAGTCCAAGTTGGCCTTGGACTTTCTGAAGTCCTCCTGCCTCAGCTTCCAAAGAGTTGGGATTACAGGCATGAGCCACCATGCTTGGCTCTGTCTGGCTTTTTTCTTGCTGTGTTTGCCCTGCCTGAAGCGAGCTGGTAGAATCCAGTAAACCTTTCCCTGCTTTTCCCTTACACAATCCAATTCAGTACAATTCAATCCCTCAAAACATCTTATGCTCCTGTCCCTTGAGATGTGAGCAGACACTCGAGTCAGGCCACTAGAATGTTCTAAATCCATGGCATTGAGAGAAGCTGGCCATTCCAAGAGGCTAACTGTGTTGGATGTGTCTAATGCTGGGTAACCCAATACTGCTGCTGTTGCTGTTTAGAAGCATGTTGTGGGATGAAGACATCCATTCAACTTTTGATCTCTTCATAGAGTTTAACGGGGCACCAGGACCAATAATCAGTAGCAGGGAAACAAAGACAGACAGCTTGACCCACTGAGGCTGGCCTCTGACCTCAGATGCCAAGCTACTGGGTTTTCATTACTGCTCTTCAAAGCTCTGTGATGTAATCCTTTGGGCGCGTCTATTTCTCGGTGTCAAACAGCTTCTAGGAATTCACACAATGAGCAGGTTTTGGAAGAGTGCCAGCCTGTTCTCCAGCTTCCTTCTCTCTGCTTGTTATTCAGAATTCAGGTCAGTTTCTATCTCCAGATCATCCGAGCCTCTGTTATCGGATTCAGGCTTTGGTTTTCTCCGTGGGCTAGCACACAAACATTGTAACTGGGTCACGCTCTGACTTCAGTTCCGTCTTGTGTCATCCTGACAAACAATCAGCTGGACTTGTGCAATGGATGGGACTGATGTGGAACTGGGAAATCTGAGCAAGCTTCCCATCAGGAGGGGGTCAAGTCTTTAACACGTTAAAGAGACAAAACTCAATGGCCCGTTGTATTGAGAGTACACTGATCCCCATTTGAAAAACCAAACTGTGGAAGCCACAGTGACTTTGCCTTTATTTTCATGGAGAAAACTGGTCCTACAGTTAGCGTGCATTCATATTCAGAGTCCTGATGAGGTGGGAGACAGTGTGGAGGACATAGAGATAGCTAGATATCTAAAAGCGACAATAGTGTTTCGGTCCAAACTCATCTCTTTGCCACAGACCACATCATTTCCCACTAGAGGCTGAAAGTTCACAGACAAAGTTATCTCTGTTTCCTCTGAAAGCCAGTTTCTCACTCAAAAACATCCACAAGTGCTCTGTTTGTACAGGTGTGTCACCGCAGAGAACAAGACAACCACAAGGCTGACAGCATCTTGGGGAAGAAACAAACCAAAAATGGATAAATATATAAACCACCACACAAATTGGGTAATTGCCAGTGGTGGTTGATGACATGAAAACACACAGAGCCTAGGATAGGGTAGCTACAGTGGTGGGCAGGGCGGGAGTGACCGCATTAGACAAAAATCGGGGAAGGCCACCATTCAAGGTCAACCTGTGAGCCGACATGGGAAGAGGGATATGTCAACAGATCAGTCAGAAGCGTATTCCCCTCAAGAAGGGCAGGGGCAATGTTTTGAGGTGGGAAAGAGCTTGAGAGAGTGAAGGAGAGAGAAAAGGAGTCCGGTGAGAAACAAGATGACAATCACTTGCCCACCTGTATCTAGATAAAGTAGTAGGGCTCCATCCCAACTCAGAGATCCCCTGTGTGCCAAGATCTCTGACATGTCACAAAATGTGACTGACAGGGGAGGTCTAATGAAAGATGGAGGATAAACAGAAGCAAAGCATGGGTGTTTCCTATGGCTGTTCTGTTTCTGTAGAAATGAAAAGTTGTTTGAACCCCAAATCACTGTAATTCTTAAAGCCAATGGGTCTAGAAATTCTGGGTGAGCTCCAAAGTCTGGATGTCTTATTGAATTGGAGGGAACTGAAAGCTGGGTATGGAATAAAGAACTTGAATCTTTGAGATAGTGTCATAGGGAATGCTTGCCTCTGGACATGCTCTGCCCTTTTGTTGCTGTATGGCTTTATTAGTTACAGTTAGTTATGGTTCTGTTGCCAAGATAAGACACTGTGACCAAAGGCCATTTATGGAAGATAGAGTTTATTTTGGCTTACAATTCCATTGGGATGAGAGTCCATTATGGTGGGGAGGCATGGCAGCAGGAATAGGAACCTGAGGGAACATGTCCTCATCCACAAGCATGAAGCAGAGAATGAACTGGAGGTGGAAAGTGGCTGCAAACACTCCAAGCCCACTCCCAATGATGCGCTTCCTCCAGCAAGGCCACACCTCCCCATAACCTCTCAAAAAAGTGCCACTAACTGGTGACAAAGGGCTCCAATACGTGAGCCTTTGGGGGACATTTAATCATTTAAACCACCACAGTGGCCTTGAAGAAGTTACTTAGCGGTTTTGTTATAGTTTGGATTTCCAGTGCTTCTCTGAGAGCTCAGGTGATGAAGGCTTTGTCCCAATGTGGCACAACTGGGAGGCAGCTGGAACCTTTAAGGTTGGTAGCCAGAGAGTTGTCTCCAGGTCACTGGAGTATCTGCCCTTGAAAGGACAGCAAGACCCTGGTCTTCTCTGAGTCATCGCCATTGGACACTTCCAACAGAGGCCTGAAAGGGATGGGTCTGCCTGAGCATTGACTCAAAGGAATTAAAACCATGAGCCCATACAAGCCTTTCACTCTGTAAACCGATGCTCTCTGGAAGTGTGTGTGTGTGTGTGTGTGTGTGTGTGTGTGTGTGTGTGTGTGTGTGTGATGGAAAATTAGCTAGCTGGCATTTTCTTTGAGACTGTTCCCTCTCCTATGAAATCCTCACGTGGTTTGAGTGGGAGCACCTGACACAACGGTGGAGGCTCAGTGTGAGCTCTTCTCTCCATCCTCCCTGCCGTCCTCCCATGGACGATGGGAGAATGAACCTCCAAGGGAAGAGAGGTGCTGGTTAGCAAAGAGTAGAAGAGACAGAAGTGAGGACAGGGATGGTGTCTCTGGCCAGCGCTGTGCCTGGAATACTGCATTGGCTCATCAGTATTCCCAAATGGGTGAGTTCCGAAGTGCCAGGACTGGCTGCAGGGAGGACCGGGAGGGCCTCAGGCAATGCCAGATTTGGTATGTTTGGGTTTGTTCAGAGGCTGTGGCTCTTCCTCTGGTGTAAAATCTAGCTAGGGAGCAGTAGAAAGGCAATGGAGAGGCAAAGGATAGACATAAGCTTGTGTCTTGCCTTCCAAAAGTTATCCAGCGATTCATCTGCTGTTTGACTTCGTAAACTGGTCACTTTTCAAATAATTAAATATATTTCATTGTTTATATAAAAATTCAGAGATTATGAGGGGATCAGTACTCCACACATGAATAAATCAACATTTTATGGTTTATTTATTCTACCTGTTTAGATATGATTGAAATCAAATAGTATTATTCTCCTGTAGCCCGTCTTTATCGGTCACTATGCTGGAACCTAAAAGGTTCCCCATCAACATGAAGCTATGGCAACATCATGGCCCAGACTATGACTGAACAATGGCTAATTTAATTATCCTCCTCTGGTTGGGCACTCAAAATGCTTCTTATTTTCCTGCTGTACATGAGCCTGGGACAAAGATGAAGACAGAGAAGATATGTATATTCTGAGCAGTTGTGTACTTAAAGGACCTGGGACATACTGCAAAGCAGCTGGCTCCTCTTGATCCCGGTCACCATCCCAAGGAGTGGCCCTCATAGGGACCGTCTGAGAGTCTCAGCCCTAGGCTATCGTCTTGCCTAACACTGGAACTCCCAAACAGAGTCAACAGTGAGGATGCTGGTTCGGCTCCCTCCCATATGGACTGTGTGCTCTGATTAATGAGGAATGCAGTATGCAAACGACTGTGGCTGTACAACAAGAACCTGCAGTACCGGCCATGTGTCTCTTGCCTGACATCTGAATGCACCTTTGTGGTTTGGGTATGTTTTAAGGGTGCCCCAGCGAAGATTTCTTCATGTTTGAAGCTTTGAGGATATTGGGAAACAGATCTTTATGATGATGGGGCTTGCTAGGAGGTCATCAAGGGAGACGCCTTTAGAAGGGCCTAATGTAATTGTTGTGGGACTCTGGTTAATTCTCAAGAAAGTACTGTTACAAAGAACAAGCTTGTTTATAAGAAGTAAACACCAGACACGTACAGTAAGTGTGTGACCTTTGGGAGGTGACACCATGACTGTGAGTCGATGGTTCTGTTCGTAACCCTTCACTAAGCCTCTTGGAATAAAGTTCAGAGGCAGATTCCCAACTCCATATAAAGACAAGCATGGTGGCTCTCCAAGTCGAAGCTTCCTTGTGATTACTGCAACATCACTCAGTTTAGCTCCTCATTATTCACCCGATTTTGGCTCCACAGTGCCTGGCAGTTTCTAGAAGCTAATGTCTGAAAATATGCTGGCATATAAATTATTCTGCTGTATGGCTTTCCAGGAACTCCCAAAGTGCTCTGAGCCCTGGTAGTGGAGTTGGATTCATAGGAAGTTTCTCATCCAATCTACTGGGAGGGAATCCAGGGCCATAAGCCTAGAACAGGCTGGGAATCTCAGTGAGCACACTAGTGTCAAGACATGCACAGTTTGCAGATATCAAAATAATTCGCCACCATTCTCCAGCTAACCTGTCCAATCCAGAAAGTGTAACAGAAGCAATGGACAAGCACTGTCTTGTAGTAGCTTAATATTTAAACCAATACTGTCTACTGAGCTAACGAGGCTGCTCAGGGCCACTCAGCTCAGGGCCACACTGTGAACCAGAGTAACACTTGGTAATTTCCAAAATGCATACACTGTATGTGCATCATATCGACCCTCATCCTTTACAACTAGATCCTCACACACACACACACATCTCCCTGCCAACTCCCAGCCTCATTGCCCTGCCTTTTAAATAGCCCTTTAAGTCCAATATATACACATGTGTGTGGAGCTATCCACAGGCGCAGAGAAGACCTACAAAGACCACACCCCTAAAAATAAACTGACTCTTGCTCCTCCGGCAGCCATCAACTGTCAAGAGCTCCTCAGCAAATGCTGGAGCCCCATGATCCTCTCCCCCATCCAAGTGGGTATGTTCAGTGGCTTGATCTCGTGTAGGTCTTATGTAGACAGTCATGGTTGCTGTGATTTCATGAGGGCACTGGTCATGTCGCATCCAGGAGCCACCACATCACAACACTCCTCCTCAACTGCTTTCTCTTAAAATCCTTCTCCCCATATGTTCCCAAGGCCTGTGGGGTGGGGATTGGGATATAGACATCCCATTTCCTATGGCTGAACACTTCTGAGGGACTTGTTACTCTTAACTAAACCCCAAGGAATGCATTCGGAAAATCCCTACAGGAAATAGCATTCTCAATGGGATGTGGCTCCTTGGCATTTGTAGGGGCAAAAGAAAAAGAAAAATGCCCCTCTAACTCAGAGTTTCTCCTTTGATGAAGATGAAGAAAGATTCCAAGTATAAGCTGGTCCAGTCGGTCACCTGAGTGCAGGGGACCACAAGGCATTGCTCTGGGTTGTCTCTGGAGTTCCTATGTGAATGAAGGAAATCTTAGAACAGATAGATCATCCAGGGGAGTCGCCAGTCCATTTCTTCCAGTCACCTTCCTATTGCTCAGTCTAAGGACAGCAGTCCTGTCCTGGTGCTCAACAGCACGGTGACTCCAGGAAAAGGCTGCCCTCCTGCTCAGGGGCTCAGTGTCCTTCCCTCCACTTATCCACTGCTTCCAGCATTTGCTTTCATGTGTATGCAAAGGAAGTGTTGAGCTCTCCCAAGTGCGTACACTGCTGTGCAGAGTCAGTTTGCAAATCAATCTCATACTTACCCAGTTCTCCCTAATGTATGAACAGGTTTCCCCTCTTGCCTTCAACCAATGAGCTAGAGGAAATGAAAATAACTTTCTAAGGAGCTGAACATAGCAGAGTCTCAACCCCTGTCCTTTGTTCCAAGGATATATGATGAGCTAGGAGTGAGGTTGCCCAAGAACTAAACCCATGTGTGTGTGTACACAATGTGGTGTGTGTGTGTGTGTGTGTGTGTGTGTGTGGTGTGGTGTACATGGCATATATCCTTCATGCATATGTATATGTAGCATGAAGTATAAGTATGTGGTATATATGTGGACATGTGTGGTGCATGTACTGTGTTTGTTGTGTATGTGATAAGTGGTATGTGTTTATGTCATATATGCTGTGTAATGTGCCTAATATCAACAAGGTGTACATGTGTGTGGTATGACATGTGGTGTAATATACGTGGTGAAAGCTGAGTTCCCAATATGTGGTACTTATGTGACATTTATAATGTGAATGTACTGTGTGAATATAGGTAGTATGTAGCATGTGTACTGTTTCTATATTGTGGCTATCATGTACACTATCATGGGTGATGAGTGTACTGTGGTGTGTGTGTGTATGTGTGTGTGTGTTATTTGTGGTGCATATACATTCTCACTTGTATCCTTAGGTGTGAGGGTTGGAAGGGTACAGCCATTGTTCCATTGCTTCCTTGCCTCTCTCTATTACCCCCTGGAAGTTGGCGGGAGTGCTGCTTATACCCAGAAACTAACCATTGTGGTTTTCTCATGAAGTCTCCACAGCAGCTGCTCTGAGCAGCTCCTTAAGTACCCCACTTCTGACTTCCTTCCCCTGAGCTGGGGAGCATAAGGCAGAACAAAGCAGGGGCATCATGGAGGAGCAGAGCGACAAAGGGTCTTTATTACCCCCTACTTTCTAAGAACTAGTCTTGGGGACACTCTAACCACATTCCTCAGGCCATTTACCACAGCCAGGGAAGCCTATGATAGGCATTGTATCCTCAGCTGGCACACAGCATCCAGCCCATATCCAGTGTCCTTGAAAGCCAGAAGAAGCCAGGGACCACAGAGCATGTGACTAGAATGACCAAAAGCCGCCTGTCGGGGACAAGAAGAGCAGAGGGGGCAAAGGTGAAATATTTTGTTTATAGCCAGTGTCCCTTGGCTGTGTTCAAGACAACCTTATGTGCTGACTGGCTCGAGCCAAAGCTTATGCCCTCCCTTGCTTAACCCCAGGGGTAGGTCAAGAGCTGTGCAAACTGACCTGACAGACCTGTTGACAAAAAAATCTCTTTACGTGGGAGTCAGAAACCAGAGCAGCTGAGCAAACCTCCCGTCACCACCCTGTCAGCGCCAGCACTCGGTGTGATGGCGGGTGCTCCGAATCAAGGGTGGCATGATGCCTACTTAAGGAGGTTTCCCAGTTCCATTAAGATGAGCTCATGCTTCAGAATTGGTGAAGGATGGATAACAATGCTCAGGGCACTGAGGGAATAACCCTGAGTTTAAAACAAGCTTCCTGGAAAATGTCACACCCGAATTCATGCCTGAGAGGTGAGTAATCTCAGTCTAGAACGACAGGGAAGAGAATTCCAGGTAGGGGCTGTTCGCAAATGTGAAAACCTGGAGCCTATAGAAAAATGCAGAGAGCTTCTCATGGGAGCCAGGATGAGAGGCGGAGCCACACGAGGCTGGAGAGATAGGCAGAGACAGGCAGGAGCAGAGGGAACTTTGCTCACATGTGCGAGGTGGGTGAGTGGCAAGAGTGGTCAGGGGCAAGCGAGCTGACCAAGTAGAGGTGTGTGGAACCTTTTAGTCAATATGAGAAGCATGTCTGCTCAAGCTCACCTGGTGATAATGAAGCTTCAGACAACAAGAGTTGATTTATGGGTTAAGATGTTTCTAGAACAAGGACCCAATGAGTAATTGCTCCCATTCCCCAGGAAAGAAACTCTCTGAATAGTGTGACATATGACATGCAGTAACATCTAATTGTACAGAGTCCAAATGCCTCCATTGCTCAAAGGTTGGTTGAATGAGCATGTGGGAGAGGACATTTGTTTCTTGGGGCATGTGGCTTGTTGGTCAATGTTGTTGGGATCCAAATGAGCAGGGAGAAAAGCTCATCATACACTCAGGGCAAGTGCAGGTCTAGGGAGAGCATTTCACAAGCATAACACCTCCATATGTAACAAAGACTCAAGAAATCCCCTAGTAGGATGCTCCTGTTTCCTAAAGTATACTTCTGGAAAACTACACTGTCTTCTGTCTTTCTTCTAATCCACCGTCCTGAGGATCAGCCATGACCCTTGGTGGTGAGGAAGCTCATGGCTCTGTGGTGCTGTTCTTTTCTGCTGTTCTTTCTTCACACCCCTGGCCCTCCTGCAGAGTCTCCCTTGGTGCCCCCCAGCCATTCTCATCTTGTCTTCCGGTCTCTAGTCTCACTCCTCCATCAAAAGGAGACTGCTTCTCTGTTCCTCTTTTGTTCGGATTTGGTTTTGATTTTGGTTTTCCAATTGATTCCAGTAAACAGTGAATGTGCTCCAAGGGATACGTGATTTTAGTCGCGCTTGACTAGCATGACTCAACACACCAGAAAAACTTCAGGATTTGGTCCATTTCCCAACAAAGCAGAATGGCAGTCCTTTACTCAAGTGCTTCTTTTTCACCCAAGCTAAAAAGTGACACTTCTCACCTTCATTGTCAACCTGATCCATGAAGTGGCTTCGCTCACCCCTGTAGCATTCTGTGCCACGGAAACATGGACTAAACCTCTGTCCCTTCTCAGCAGGGATGCGCATCTCTGTCATTTGACTCTTAGTAACGCTCAGCAAAACTCCAAGAGACCTGGACTAGGAAGAGCTGTGAGAACTTCTGGAAAGCTGAACAGGTCTGAGAATGAAGGCCATAAAAGTGCAAGAAGGAATCACATTAGTCACCAAGCATGTATCATTTCAAACCTTTCAGGAAGCCTCGTGCCATCTTAGCAAAGGTGCCTTTTCCTGCTTATCGGGCACACCCCTCCTCCAAGCCTTGCTACCCATTATGAAAATGTTACTAAAGAGCTGATGGGTGTTTTCTACTCACAGCATCTTTGGTTTAAGCTTGTGCACAATTTTAAAATCGATATGAAATTTTTAAAAAAAAATCATATTTGTCAGATGGTGGTAGCACACATCTTTAATCCCAACACTTGGGAGGCAGAGGCAGGTGGGTCTCTGTGAGTTAGAGGCAAGCCTGGTCTACAAAAGTGAGTTCCAGGACAGCCAGGACTGCTAAACAGAGAAATCTTGTCTGGAAAAACTGAAAATAAAAATCCTGCTTGTTCCTTTTTGCATCTACTATCTTCTCAATGCTGGGTGCAGTGTAAAAGGTGTTGAACACTAGATGGCTATGAAATGTCCCAGTCAAGTACAGCAGCTAACATTTTGGGGCTTCATGCATAAGCCAATCAAACTCCTAGCATAGGAGTTTGAATTCGTCAATTAATTCATTTATCTCTCAACACAGTCCTGCAACAGGAGACTATTATTTTCCCCATTTTATAAACAAGGATGTGGAACATAGGGGGGAAAAGTTAAGAAACTTCTGCTAGATGTTGGGGGACACATTTCTAGTTTTAGAACTTGAACAGCCAAGGCAGATGGATCAATATAAGTTTGAGGCCAACCTGATCTATATATCAAGTTCTAGGTCAGGCAGGGCTACATAGTGAAAATCTATACAAAACACAACCATACACACACATCAAAAATAAATAAATAGGTAGATGTAGATGAATTTCTAAACGGTCTTATTAAATAAAACAACTCAGAGCCAGATATAGGGGTGAAAACCTAAGAGATCAGAGAAATAGGGAAACGCACAGCTAACCTTACCTCACCAACTCCACAGCTTCCAAAATCAAGATACTTCCTGTCTACCCACACCTATATGCCTTGCTGTTCTACCATCTGATTTGCCCTCTCTGTCCAGCTACATCACTTCCTCTTCCTGCCCAGCTCTGTCAATTGCTGTCTGTCTGCACAGGCCTCCAGACCTCCATGGTTCACTGGTGTTGGAATTTAAGGCGTGTACCACCCCACCTGGCTCTGTTCCCAGTGTGGCTTTGAACTCACATAGATCCAGACAGAGCCCTGCCTGCCAAGTGAAAGGATGAAAGGCGTGTGCTGTCTTTGCCTGAGTTGTATATAGTGGCTGGCTTTTTCTTCTGATCTCCAGGCAAGTCTTATTTTACTGGGAGACCCAGTATATTAGGGAACACAATACATCACCACAGGTAGATAGATAAGTAAATAAATAAAAAGAAAGTTAAAGAACTTGTCCTGGTCATACAAGGGGTCAGTGGTAAAGCAGGGACTCACATCTGTGCGGTCCCATCCCAGGTTGGACTTGGTTTGTCTGCTGCCTCTGCTGTTCACACTGTCTCTGTGGGAAAGTACTTTACGGTTGGGAGCCTCTGCGTTCTCACTGGTATAACTGAATACTTAATGTCTCTTTACTGCTCTAGTGTGAAGATGAAGAGCTCCGCGTGTTTAAAGGACTGGGCACCATCCGTGGTAGATGCATGTTGACCTCGTGTGTTATCTATTACTGTTGAGTCCAGCTGGCCTCCCCGCCGCAACCACTTTGTACCCAGGGTTGAAGATGAGAACCCAACGTTCCAAACTCAACTCATCAACAAATCATCATTCAGATGGTAACCAAGGACAACCACATTGGCTGTTCTCAATCAGCAGCTCTCCTGTTGGGTTTCCCTTTAGCCCTCCAACCAACTAGGGCAGATAAAGGATATCACTGGTCAGTCTGTTTCTCTCATTAGCCCATTTGGCCCAACTCAGCCATCCCCAGCCTCCACTTGACCTTCACATCAGTAATCCTAGGAAAGGAGTTTCTAAAAAATAAAAATAAGAAGTTTCTAAATAAATAAAAGGTGGTTATATCCCAAAAGCTACAATAATTTAAAATGGATTACTTTATACTAAAGCCTCCAGAATTAATAAATTATCTTCAGTTCCAGATGCTCTGAAATGACTCCCATGTCCTCAAATGTGATTTTTGACTCACATGATAGCCTTTGTTTTCAGGAAATCCAGGCCCCAAACATTCTTCAGATTTACTGAGAGTAACCTAATCATTTTTATGAAAAGATAAAATATTAATTCATATAATCCATTTATATAAGTAAGAAAAGCACTTTACAACTTTCCTCAGAAATATTAAATAGAGATAAAAAGGAAGAGTCGGAAATGGAACTGGAAATAAATTTTTGTGCTAATATTTATCAAGATAGGTCCAAAACAACTATTGAAAGACGATATGTTCTTCTTCCCCATTGTAGTTATTCTTAGTGGGTCTCCTAGTCCCCTTGAAAAGAAGCAGGAATGAGTTGATTTTATAACAAAAAATGTGCAAAGAAATTAACATGGCAATGGTCATGAACCATCAATAGAAAAACTCAAAGATAAACCTACAGAGAATGGCGATCTGGCTTGCCTACCTAAAAGGGAGTTCTTACTTTGACTTTATACTACTGATTTTTCCTCAGTTCTTTTTCAAATGATAAAAAAAAAAAAAGTGATGCTCAGAGGAGACTGTTCAGCTTTGCAGAAGGCCTGAGTTCGGCTACGAGCACCCACACTGGGCTGCTTACAACTGCCTGTAACTCCAGCTCCAGGTGATCTCATGCCCTCTTCTGGCCTCTGTGGAGAACTGCACTCATGTGAACAAACCCACATACAGATATACACACATACACATAATTTAAAAATAAAGTAAAATCTTATAAAAAAGGGTAAGATACATATCAATTGAAAAGAGCAAAGTCATCTTGTTCTCTACACCTCATTTTACATCCTGGCTGCCCAAATGATGCTTCTTCCAAGTCTTTACTGAAAATGTCAAATGTTATCCTTTTATATGAAAATATATTATATTAAAGGATAAATATATCCTTTTATATTAAAGTTATATTTAATATAATCCTTTCATAGTAAAATGTTACCCTTTAATATTAATTATAATATGTTAAATGCATTTAATATTTTACATTTAAATACATTATGTATTTCCATGTGTTAAAACATATATAATGTAATATATTACATTAAAATGATGTGTGTGTGTGTGTGTGTGTCATACGACACAGAGAAGTGATTTAAAGATAAAAGTGGGAACAATTCCTTCTTCTGGAACTGGCCGTTGGTCCCATGAAGCCTCTCTGCGTGGGCACAGAAGGGGAGCAAGGCCAGGGTTCCCAGAGCCCCACAGTGCATGTGTCTGTCTACAGGCTGCACACAACTGTTCTTCCACTTCTTCATGTGCAAATTTTCCTCTTGGGTGACGAAGATAGCTGCACTAACCCAGGCACAATGCCTGGAAAGTGCCTGACATGATACAGCAAATGTTAAGTGCATCACTTCTGCCAGTATGGTTACCACTGCACACATGGTGTTAAATACACTCTTGCCAGCATGGTTACCACCGCACACATGTGTGTTAAGTACATCACTCCTGCCAGTATGGTTACCACTGCACACACATGTGTTAAATACATCACTCCTGCCAGCATGGTTACCACCACACACATGTGACAAGCTGAAAGGAGAAAGATCTAGTCAGGAACACTGCATCATTGTACAGAGTTTATATTTATTAAAATTACTTTGGTATTGAATTTTATTTGAATTTGAGTAGAGTATGAGAATGAAAAGGCTAACTGAAGAGATATTTCACCTTGAAGTAAATGTTTTGTTTTGTATTTTCCCATAAGAAATGTTGTTTCCAACAAGGTCTTAAAGAAATGGAGTTTAAGAAGAAATAAAGTGAGCCGGGCGGTGGTGGCGCACGCCTTTAATCCCAGCACTCGGGAGGCAGAGGCAGGCAGATCTCTGTGAGTTCAAGGCTGGCCTGGACTACCAAGTGAGTTCCAGGAAAGGCGCAAAGCTACACAGAGAAACCCTGTCTTGAAAAACCAAAAAAAAAAAAAAAAAAAAAAGAAGAAGAAGAAATAAAGTGAAAGTTCTTTCATGAATGAAAAAAAAAAGGCTTTGCTTCAGCTTCCATGGGTTACTAGCATTTCTGCCAAGGATCTCTCCACACTTATCAAATGCTTATCATTCTAGGACATTTTTAAATGTTTGTCATAACTTTTATAATTAGTAATGACAATCCACATAAATTCATTCACTGTCAGCAGCAAAGTTAGTGAATTTCTGCAATTTTTCTTTCTTGACATTTTTTTAACCCTTTGTTGGATTCCAGGAAAGCATTGCTACTTGTTGAATGATTTGTTTTTTAATCTCCAAATATGGCTCATAGTTAACCCTTGAGGTTCCACATTTGGCAATGTCTTGAGACTGACTTTAGATCTGAACACCCGGCTGGATATGTATACCATTTGGGGGATATGCTGGATAGTTTTATGTCACCTTGACACAAGCTAACGTTAGCTGAGAAGAGGGAACCTCAATTAAGAAAATACATCTATAAGATAGGGCTGAGTTGGCAAGCTTGTAAGGCATTTTCTTGATTAGTGATTGATGTGGGAGGGACCAGCCCAACATGGGTGGGGCCATCTCTGGGCTGGTAGTCCCGGGTTCTATGAGAAAGCGGGCTGAGAAAGTCATGAGGAACAAGCCAGTAAACAGAACTTCTCCATGGCCTCTGCATCAGCTTCTGCCTCTAGGTTCCTGCCCTGCTTGAGTTCCTATCCTGACTTCCTTTAATAATGAACTGTGCTGTGGAAGTGTAAGCCAAATAAACCCTTTCCTCCCCAAGTTGCTTTGGTCATGGTGTTTCATCACAGCAATAGAAAGCCTTGCTAAGACAGAAATTGGTAGTAGGAGTGGGGTATTGCCTTAACAGACCTGACCATGTAGTTTAGGGGAAGATTGTGGAAGGACTTTGGAACTTTGGTCTAGAAGAGCCATTGAGTGTGGAGACCTCAGTGGGCGTTCTGTTGGAGTTTTGAAGATAAGAACGTTGAAAGCGGTGCAGACAATGGAAGCCTGGCTTGTGAAGTTTCAGAGGGAAGCAAAGACTCTACCAAGCTGTTTGTGTGAAGAATCTGTGGTGCGTGGTCACCTGGAGCTGAAGAATCAGCTGTGATTAACAAGACACCAGAGCCACTAAGGTGAAGTATTTGTTTTACTGGAACAATGGACACTGGTTAGCTGGAGCTGAGAAATTAGTGGATATTAAGAGGAGACCAGCATTGTTGAGGTGAAATCTAGGAAGTGTTTCCTGAGAGTCAGCACACAGAAGCTGTGTTCCAGAGGCAGCCAAGGTTGTACCTCAAGCTGGCAGCTAAACTTGGTAGTGTAAGAGTCCCCCAAGTGGAACTGGTATTGAAGGCATGAAGGGAAGCAGCTGAGATTTGGCACTGTGAGAATCTAGGAAAGGCTTCTAGTGGAGGTGTGGCTTTAGTAGCAGTGGAAGGTCCAGAATTGAAGGGGTCATGCAGAGAAGTTGAGGCTTGGCACCATGAAGAAAGCCTATGAGAGGCTACTAATGAAAGTACAGCCCAGTTGGAGCAGAAGACCCAGGATTTTGGAGAAGTCAGTACCATGGGATGACCACCAATAACAGCAGCAGCTGTGGAATGGAGCCAACCTGCGCCTAGAAGTCAAGCTGTGTGTGTGTGTGTGTGTGTGTGTGTGTGTGTGTGTGTGTGAGTTGCAGTGAGTGGAACCCTTTGGAGGAACCCAAAAGATCGTGAGTAAATCTCAGATATGTGACTTTGAGTTATTTATACTTCTGGAGTGTGGTTTTGCTCTGCTTTGATTTTGGCTGGGCCATGGTTCTCTCCTCTTGAAGCAGAAAGTATCCAATTTATTTTTGTATTTATGTGAGTCCACAGTTGAAAGATTTCAAAATTTTAAAAGAGATTTTGGATTTTTAAAGAGACTGGATATTTTAAAGGGAGCAAACTTTTAATGCGTTTGAATATGAAAAGACTATGGGACTTTCAAAGCTATGTTTTTAAAGTGAGCTATTGGGGATGAATGAGAAAGGAAAGGTGGTGGTTTTAATGGTGATGTGTTTGTGTGTCAAGTTGACAAGGGGTCATTTGTTCTGGATGGTTTCATGTCAACTTGACACAATCGAAGGCCATCTGAGAGGAGAGACCTTTAATGAAGGAAATGGCTCCATAGGATTGGGCTCTAAGACATTTTCTTAACTAGCGATTGATGTCGGAGGGACCAGACCACCATGGGTGGTGCCATCCCTGGCCTTGTGGTCCTGGGTGCTATGAGAAAGCAGGCAGAGCGAGCTATGAGGAACAAACCAGTAAGCAGCATCCTCCATAGCCTCTGCATCAGCTCCTGCCTCCAGGTTCCTGCCCTGTTTGAGTTCCTGCCCTGACTTCCTTTGATGATGAACTGTGGTTTGAAAGCTCAAGCCAGTTAAGAACCCTTTGTTCCTCAAGTTGCTTTAGTCATGGTGTTTCGTCACAGCAATAGAAACCCTAAGACAGTGGGTAACTCCTTTTGCCTTAGGACCCCATAATTTTATGGCACATAATATCACTATAGGAAAATCAAGGCCAGCTGACATTGACTTTTTTGTTTGAGTTTGTGAAAAATGATTTATTATGCTCAGTAGCTCAAGTAGCTTACATTATGTCTCTTTTTAATACAGAAACTGGTTGCATCCTGTGGCCTCACTAGTGTCTCTTTTTTCCCCACTTGAGGGATATTTGGGTCTTTTAAAGTATAGGGTCAATATGGATGATGCCTTTGTAACCATCTGGAAAACAATTCTTTATTGGATGGGCTATTTCAAAAATAGACTATCCAAATGAATATTTTATCTTCTCGTCATTAAAATTTGTAGTTGAGTCCAATAATGACTTTGCTATGGATCATATACTGAAATCAGCAAGTTCTCCTTTTAATTTAACTCTCCTTCTCTTGACCCTTCTCCTCCCTACTTCTCCTCTTCCTCCTCCTCCCCACTCATCATCTCCTCTCCTCCCTCCCTCTCCTTCAACTTCTCCCTCCTTCCCTTCCTCCCCCTCCTCTTTCCCTTCCTCCTCTTCTCCTCCTGATCCTCATCTTCTTCTTATATTTATGAAACAGGGTCTCACTGTGTAGCACTAGCATCCTTAAACTCATTATGGCTGGCCTTGAACTCTCAATCCTGCCTCAGCCTCCTGAAAGACGGCTTGCAGGTATGTGCCACTATGTGTAGCTGTTAAGTCAAATGTCCGTTAGAACTTTGTCTTAAGCTGAGCTGAATTCTCACTCTTAGTACATTCATTTGGAGTATAAAGCAAGTGCTAAGAATCATGTCCCATCTGGCATTTTCCTCTAGCTTGTCCTTCTCCCAGGCCTCACACCTCTGCTCCTTTGTACTTCTTGCCCAATGGTAACTTTGTGTCTGTCCTGGGTTGATTGGATCATCACATTGCCCTTCCATCTGGTCCATGTTTATTCAGCTCCAACCACGCATTCTGTTTGCTCTGATAAAGGCTGTGTTGCTGTTTTCCCACTGAGCCATGGCTATCAGCTGAGTAGACACCCTGTATTCTGCCCACTGATCCTGGAAAAGTACCAGAGGTTTGGAGGGTTGGTTTTTGTTTTTGTTTTTTTTTTTTTGTATTTATTTTACAATACTATTCAGTTCTACATAATAGCCACAGATTCCCTTGTTCTCTCCCTTCCTGCCCCCCTCCCCTTCCCCCCAGCCCACCTCCCATTCCCACCTCCTCCAGGTCAAGGTCTCCCCCAAGGACTGGGATCGACCTGATAGACTCAGTCCAGGCAGGTCCAGTCCCCTCCTCCCAGAT